CCTTAAATAGGCCTATTTAAGGGAAAAGGTGAAACGAAGGACATGTGTTTCATACTTTCATTTTGGTGAATGTAACCTTAACATAATGTTTTAACTGTATTGCAGCATTGTCTTAAATACCCTAAAAGCACTAGATTTCACCTTGCCATGAAAACCAAGATTGGTTTTCCATAATGTACGGTGGTTAAGCTCACTACAATGTTAATGTTTCCTCTGGATCCCCCCTCTTATACAGTATAAAATGTAGACTACATTGGTTACTTTCCTGTTTATTTGTAGATTTTTCTCATTGAACTGAAAAAGTGATTTCGTTCAGCTTTTTTAGTCTCATTTTAAAACTATCCTGTTATAATGTGGTCAGTAAAACCTGCTGGATCTCACCAAAGACCTGTCCAGGTCAATATCCTGTTGGCACAATAGGCCATCAGATGTCTAGGAAATAGCTCAAAAATACCTCCTTATGTTCCATGCTAAGTGCCTCTGATACTGAAAGCAATACAGGTGTACCTCAGTTAATGAATGAGATGTGTTCTTGGATATGATTTCAAAAGAAAATTTGGGACCAGAAGCAGAAATAATACGCAAAGAATAGGTTAACGTACTAAAAAAAAGAAGGCATTTCCACATGTTTTCAGCATTTTTTTTAATCCCAAGCCAACAATGTGGTAATGTAACATGAAATAACCAGGTCAAGTAATCCTAGCATAAGAAAACACTTAGAGCCTTCTAGATAACATTTTAATGTCTGTGTTAAAGTATATCCAGAAATGACTATCTTTCATCGGCCTGTATGTCTTATGACTCCTGTTTCGGTGGCCAATTTTGTAGATCTATTGCAGATTCAAAATACAGAGGGACAAACTTTCTAGAAACATAAAAAACAACCTCCAGCTGGATAGGATAAGGGAGAGAGTTCGGAGGCATCAAAAGAGCTTTGTCAGATTTTGGGGTTTGTAGAATTCATGTAGTTTGACATAGCTTTAACTACAATTATTCAATTCTGTGGAATCATGGTACTTGTAGTTTAACAAGTTCTTGAGCCTTCTCAGCCAAATAATGTTGCATCATGAAACTACAACACCCATGATTCCATCACACTTAAAGTGGGATCAAACTGCATTAATTACAGTGCAGATGCACCCTTTGTTCACTGTGCATAGCTTAGTAATAATTGGTACCCTTATGCACCATGATTCTCCCCCATAGATTTTCCATTTCTGATGTATTTTAAGTATTGCGTTTAAGAACATGCTCACATTTTGGTGGGGTATTTTTCTAATTCTTTTGTTAAACCACTGAAAAACTGAACTCTGCTCTTACTCTGACGTCAGTCCCCTAAATCACTCTGAGCATGGGATGGGGTGGAATAATGTCCTTGGATTTGTGGATTTACTTTAGGCCCTCTGGAATAGAAAATATAATCTCAGTACTGATTTGTTTCTTCTATGGGTGTTGAATATTCAGAGATACACATATCCCACTGCTTTCCCACCAGGTTTTCATTATGCAGGGAATTTTCTGACAGAACTGCTGTCAGCAGGGAGCAGAAGGCAAGCAAACTCCCCGTGAAACCTCAAAATCTGCTCTGGGAGCAAAGCAGGGCCAGGCCTAGTACTTCCTTTGTGGAAGAAGAGCAAAGAGAATTTTCTATAGATTCCTGTTTTCAAGATGATTAGTGTGGTGTGTAATGGTTTAGGTATAGGACAATGGGAGACCAGGGTTCAAATCTCCACTCAGAAGTGGGAACCTGGTGGATGGCCCTGGGCATGTCACACTGTCTCAACCTCAGAAAGTGTAGGCAAACCCTATGTGAATAAATTCTGCTAAGAAAGCCCTGCAATAGGGTCGCCATAAGTCAGAACTGGCGTGAAGACACATAAATATAACAAGACTTCCATCTTAAAGTTGGCAAGTTAAACGAGACGTGTACAAAAGGGAATCCCAGCAAGGAACTTGGGGGCCAGAGTGGGGTAGGCGGCTGGGAGGGAGAGGGCTCTCCCCAAGTCCTCTCCCTGCCTTTTCCTCCCCTTCTTCTTCTCTTTTGGAGTTAGAAAGTGAAGAAAAGATGGGAAACATTTGGATCCCAAAGGGGCTGGCCTTGATCAGGATGAGATGGGGGACGGGAGAGAAAAAGTGTATCCATTAGACTCCATATTGCCTTCTCCTGATATAAAATCCTACCACTGGAAGAGGCCCCCAGGGGCCATCCAGTCCAACCCTCTGCCATGCAAGAAGGCATAACCAAAGCACTCTTGATAGACAGCCTCTGTGGAAAAGCCTCCAGAGAAGGAGGCTACACCACAGCTTATGCCACTCTCCAACAGCTCTTACTCTCAAAGTTCTTCCTAATCTTTTCAGTTGAATCTCTTTCCCTGCCTTTTAAACCCATTTCTCCCTTGTGCCCTGGTCTCTAGAGCAGCAGAAAGTCAGTTTCCCCTCCTCAGTGGGACACCCTTTAAGCCTTGAAACATGGTTCGCATGTTCCCTCTCCTGCATCTTCTCTTCTCCCAGCTAAACATCCCTCAGGAAGAAAGGAGGAAGGAAAAAAAGAAGGGAGGAAGGGAGAGAAGGATGGAAGGGAATGGAGGGAGGGAGGGAATGGAGGGAGGGAGGAAGGAAGGGAGGAAGGAAGGAAGGAAGGAAGGAAGGAAGGAAGGAAGGAAGGAAGGAAGGAAGGAGAAAGAAGGGGACGAGGGACGAAAGAGGGAAGGAAGGATGAAAGGGAGGAAGGGAAGGAAGGAGTAAGAGGGAGGAAAGGAAGGAAAGTAGGAGGGAAGGAGGAAAGAAAGAGGGAAGGATAGGATGGTGAGAGAGAGGAGGGCCTGAGAAAAGAGCCCAAGGGGCCGCATCCAGTCCCCGGGCCTGGGTTTGTCCATACCTGCTCTGTATCTTCCCTCTAGCCAGCCTGATGGCATTGTTTGGAAGTGCAGGGCTATAAATGCTTTTTTAAGGACTACGAACATTGTTTTGAAGATACTGTTGACAATATTGATCACTGTTCAGTAGAGAATCCCAAGTGGTGAAACCTTGCTGTTTACTGTTCCGCAAGTTGTCAGATGCATCCATCTCAAATATTCTGTCTCTAATTGCCTTCTTGTTCAACTGCATTAGGGTTGTTGTTAGCCCATCAAAATACCAATGTAGCAGGGCTAACCAGTATTGAGCCCAACCTTCCTGCTTCTATTTCTCCATCAAGCATTACTTTGTTATACTCTCATCCTCCATTTCAAGAAGTCCCTTCCCTGTATGAAATATTAAGCTTATGCATTCTGGCCTTGAGTGAGGGACAATCCAATTCAAGCCTTAACAAGGCACATGGTGTCCCAGGGGGAAGGGCTAAAAGAGCTCCTTTGTAGCTTAGGGAGCAGCCTTTAACAGCCCCACTAAACTACAAACCCCAGAATTCTGCAGGAGGCAGAAACCGGATTTTAAGTGGATTTTTTCTCTAGTGTGATGACAAACTTATTCTGGATACGTTCAACCTGCTTTGTGTTACCCTGTTCCCATATTTCCGCTCCATATAACAATTGTGGTGGATTGCTTTGTTATTTCACTTGCCAACTTAGGTCTTGATCAACAAATGGGCGGGCAAGGTAAAAGGGAGTTAAACTCTTCCTTAGTTCACTCACTACTATATAAAATAGTTGTCAGTTACCACACTCTAAATACCCTTCTGCATTCCTGAAAACCTCTCATCTATGCAATCCCTCTCTTCTTGTAAACATGTATTATTTACTCTTGACTGTGAACCATTGCAGTAGCAGAACATGACAAATTCTCACACTCACATTTTTGTCCACACATATCAATGGAGAACTTGTATAGATGATTAATACAGAGCAAAACTCTTGTCCACATCTCTCTACAATGGGTTTTAATCAGTGCTTTCTCCTACTTAGTCCTAATTTCCACCTGTTTTGGACCTACAGCTCTTCTGAGGACAGACATTCAAAGTGAGTAGCATTTTCTTTATGCGAGGAAAGACTTCAGAAGTGGAGTCCAACGTGTTGCGCAGAAGCGGATTTTAGCCAGGTCCAATGCAAAAGACACACAGGCAAGAGGAAAAAGGAACAGGAAAAACTTTACTCTTATCAGTAGAGGCAAAACATAAACTTGCAGTGTTGCATACAAAAAACAACAGTGCAACAAACTTACATAGTCCTAATAAGTAACACAGAATAAGGCTTCTTCATCTTCATTCACTGAGAGAGCAAAACATAAACCTTGAGTAAATAGCTATTCCACCATAGCAAAGAGCAGCGTTGTTAGAGCATAGCAGCATTACAGTATATTGCATTTCCAAACTGTATTCTAAAATCCATAGTTATACCCCATCAGTTGTGGTCCAAACATGCTGGCTGACCTACATTACCAGCTGCACATAACAATTAACATCATAAGATTTTTCTTTTAACACACACATTTGATCCTGGTACGACTTACTGTAACACAACATGCCAGAAAAAGCTCATGTAAGTATGTTGCTAGCTAAATTGAGTCAGGTTGTGGTGGGGAAGTTTGGGGTATATAGGCTGAACTGCATTATATGGTTGGTGTAGACAAGGTATGGCCAAACTTGGGCCCTGCAGGTGTTTTGGACTCCAACTCCCACCATTCCTAACAGCCTCAGGCTCCTTCCTTTCCCCCCTCAGCCGCTTAAGTTTGCCCATACCTGGTGTAGAGTCATTGAATTGCATTATATGGGCCTAAACTGATCATTGAATGTGGTTCCAACCTGCATTATATGGCAATGCAGATTAGGCCTCTGGGGGACAGAATCCCTGCTCTGCCATGGAAACCTACTTTTGGGCAAGCCATAGGGTGCACCTACACTGCAGGATTGATGCAGTTTGGGAACAATTTAACTACCATGGGCCAAATGCTATGGCATCCTGGGAACTGCAGTTTTGCACGGCCTCTGTGCCCAGGAGTGCCGGCGGCTCACCAAACTACATTTCCCAGGATTCCATAGCATGGAGCCTATTCGGTAGCGCAGCAGCAGCGTCCAATCCTGGCCCGGGAGGCAAGCAGGCGCGCGCTCCCCGCCCTCAAAAGGCAGGGCCAGGCGGCAGAGTTGTGCAAGCGGCGGCCTTGGTTTGTTTCTGTCCAGCGGCCCAAAGAGCCAGGCGGTGTCTCTGCTTCGTCTTCCAAAATGCTCTGCCGCTTAGCTTCGCGGAGCAGCCGCAGGTGAGACGGAACCCGGCGGAGTTTTCCTTGGAAGCCCTTGACCGAGCCTGGCCAAGGGCGCCGCGGACGAGGCGGGAGATTAGGAAGAGGGAGGGAGGGAGGGAGGCCCGAGGGGCTGCGCCGCCCTCTATGGCCGGCAGGGGGCGCCCGCGAGGCGGCGTTTTGACTGCCATGGCTCAGTGTTGCGCAATCCTTGGGAGTTGTGACATTACCAAGTCTGCACAGCCCAGGCCTCCATAGTATTGAGCCATGGCACTTCAAATGGGTCTCAGGCTGCATTCATTCTGCAATGAATCTACATAGCCTCCTCTTTTAGGAACCAGTGTGAACCCAGTGGCATATGGGGCATTTCTTTAACCACTTGAACAAAAGGGCTTGTTTCCAGTTGCTGGGCCCAATCAGGCGTGCATAGTCAAATTAATGCAGTTTGACCTCAATTTTGACACCTTAAAGTAGTAGAAACTTAGAATCATAGAGTTGGAAAAGACCTCATGTGCCATCCAGTCCAACCCCCTGCTAAGAAGCAGGAAAATCGCATCAAAGCACCCCTGACAGGTGGCCATCCAGCCTCTGTTTAAAAGCCTCCAAAGAAGGACCCTCCACCACACTCCAGGGCAGAGAGTTCCGCTGCTGAACAACTCTCACAGTCGAAAATCACATTCAAAGCACCCCTGACAGATGGCCATCCAGCCTCTGTTTAAAAGCCTCCAAAGAAGAACCCTCCATCACACTCCAGGGCAGAGAGTTCCACAGCTGAACAGTTCTAACTAAAATTATTTTTATTGTTACTTCATAACTGTAATTTAGCTACTGCATTTAATTGTAATGCAAATATCTGATAGGAAGAATGTATTTTCATTCACTGGACCGAATTTGGCACAAATACCTGAAATGTCCACATTTGAATGCTGGTGGGGTTGGGGGGGGGGGGAGGGAATTGATTTTGTCATTTGAGAGTTGCAGTTGCTGGGATTTAAAGTTCCCCTGCCATTAAAGAGCACTCTGAATTCCACCAATGATGGAATTGAACCAAACTTGGCACACAGAACTCCCATGACCAACAGAAAATACTGGAAGAGTTTGGTGGGCATTGGCCTTGAGTTTTGGAGTTGTAGTTCAGCTACATCCAGAGAGCACTGTTGACTCAAACAATGATGGATCTGGACCAAACTTGGCACAAATACTCAACATGCCCAAATGTGAAACCTGGTGGGGGTTTGGAGAAAATAGACATGGTCATTTGGGAGTTGTAGTTGCTGGGATGTATAGTTCACCTACAAGCAAAGAGAATTCTGAACCCCACCAATGATAGAATTGGGCCAAACTTCCCATATAGATTCCACATGACCAACAAAAATACTGTGTTTTCTTATTGTCTTTAGTGACCCCTCTGACACCCCCCTCACGACCCCCAGGTTGAGGAACGCTGGAATAGGCCAATGTTTTCACTGTTTTGTGCCCTCTTCCAGAAATGCCATTCAGCTCCTTGCATCACTCGGCTGCCTGGCCTCCCGACAGAAGCACTCTCTTCCTGACTTGCCTTATGATTATGGTGCACTTCAACCCCATATTAGTGCAGAAATAATGCAGCTTCACCACAGCAAACATCATGCCACATATGTAAATAATCTGAATGTTGCTGAAGAAAAATACAAAGAGGCCTTGGCAAAAGGTATGTTCATGAATGCCAAACTGCTGCTGCATACCTATCATTGTGTGCACATATGTTTTCTCTTGGGCTAAAGTTAACAGTCACTTATGTTACGGTACTTTTTCAATGTGCTTGTAAAATGTACAACCTTAAGGTACGCTTCACGCTCCAAATACCATACCACAAAAGCTCCTATCGTTTATCCGTAGTATACTATTTGAGGACTATGAAGATGTCTGTACTGAAAGCTTGGTATCATTGTGACTTATTGTTATGGCATGTTTTGAAGAAAAAGTTATGTCTTAAGGAGGATTATTTTATAAGAACGCTTGAGTTGCGTAAGTCTGGAGTGAAAACATTGACTCTTTCACCATAAGACAATAATCTAGAATTCTATAGGATTGCTGGCTTTTCATGAGCAAACATTGTTTGGTGCTCCCACATGCAGCCGTAGCAGCTAAACAAGCTTTATTGTACGGTGGGTCTGCTGCATTGGCAGGCACCAAGCCGTTTACTGTCTTGCTCATTCTGTCTATCACCTTGGGGATAACAAGCACTGGTGTTGCTATATCACTGCCCTTCTAAAATATGGTCTAATACAGGGGTCCTCAAACTAAGGCCCGGGGGCCAGATGCGGCCCTCCAAGGTCATTTACCCGGCCCTCGCACAGGGTCAACCTAAGTCTGAAATGACCTGAAAGCACACAACAACAACAACCCTATCTCATCAGCCAAAAGCAAGTCCACACTTCCCATTAAAATACTAATACGTTTATATTTGTTAAAATTGTTCTTCATTTTAATTATTGTATTGTTTTTAAGTGTTTTTTGCACTACAAATAAGATATGTGCAGTGTGCATAGGAATTCATTCATGTTTTTTTTTTTTCAAATTATAATCTGGCCCTCCAACAGTTTGAGGGATTGTGACCTGGCCCTCTGTTTAAAAAGTTTGAGGACCCCTGGTCTAATACATTGTCAATGAAAACACTGGGCTTTGTTATTTTGGAGTTTTGGGATATAGTTGGCAATCTATATCCACGGCTGTTACTTTCATGGAGTCATCCATCCGTGGCTTGAAAATATTTTTAACATTCCAAAAAGCAAACCCTGATTTTACCATTTTAAATTTGGGACATCATTTTACTACAGATTATATATAATGGGACTTGAGCAACCACAACTTTTGGTATCCATAGGGGTCCTAGGACCAAGCCCTAGCAGATATGAAGAGCCCATTGTGGATATGCATTTTAACTTGACTGTTTCAGGCTTGAACACATTGTTGGTCCTCTTTAAATTCCATTCTCTAGTCACATCCTGTTTAGACTACTGCAACGCTCTCTACGTGGGGTTGCCTCTGAAGACTGCTCGGAAGCTTCAAATGGTCCAAAGATCAGCAGCCAGGATGCTAACAGGAGCGGCACTCAGGGAGCACACCACTCCACTGCTGCTCCAGCTCCACTGGCTGCCAATTTGCTACCGGGCACAATTCAAATGTGCTGGCTTTAGCCTTTAAAGCCCTAAACGGTTCTGGCCCGACCTACCTGTCCGAACGCGTCTCCTCCTATGAACCAGTTAGGACATTAAGATCGTCTGGGGAGGCCCTGCTCTCGATCCCGCTGGCTTCACAAGCACGCCTGGCGGGGACGAGAGACAGGGCCTTCTCAGTGGTGGCCCCTCGGCTGTGGAACGCCCTTCCTGCAGATATTAGATCGACCCCCTCCTTGCTGGCATTCTGGAGGAAAGTAAAGACCTGGCTGTTTGAACAGGCATTCGACTAAGCAGTGTGATTGATTGACTGACTATCGGAACACGGAATATCGGATAACGAGTTTGGATTCTGATTTCATTGATGAGACCTGATGGATTTGTTATATTGATGTAGTGATGTATTGATATTGATGTTTAGTGATTTGTGATGCTATTGCTTGTAAATGCTTAATGATTTTGTATTGTGTATACCTAAATTGTTGTAAACCGCTCTGAGTCGCCTAAGGGCTGAGAAGAGCGGTATACAAATAAAGTAAATAAATAAATAAATAAATATTTAATGATGGCTCATCCATGGTTGTAACCTAATTTACTTAACAAGTTTTCAAAGCCACTGGCTATGGAATTTTTAGAGAGCTATTTAGTTATGTAAGCCCTGAAAAGAAAGGAAGATATAGAGATAGATAGATAGATAGATAGATAGATAGATAGATAGATAAGATTACTGGAGTGCCAAAATAAGACTTCCTTAAAGGTGTACTCATTTTTTCTTTGTAAATGTTCCATGTAACCTGTGTGGAGAAAACAGAAAAAGGGTGGAAAAGTACAGTTATTCTGCTTAATAATGAGCTCAGGGCAGGAGTGTGTTTTTCCCCCTGCGGGTGGCTCCTAGATAAGCAAATAGCTGTCCGCACCCTCTTTTTAGGATGTTACCAAAGCAAATTCTTGAGTGCCTGCAATAAATATGTTGCCTGACACTCAAACTACCTGAAATAAAAAACCAACAGCACAAAGCAAATCTTACAGAAATTGATAATAATTAGCCCAATATCTTTCCAGTTGCATTCAGTTTTTCATCAGGAGTAAGTGCCTTTACTATCTGGAAAGGTTTTTGTATATATATGGAAGAAAACGATCAGAGATAGATCATCTCACTTTGGTCTTCCCATAACTGTCACCAAATAGTAACCATTTCAGAGCTTTCTATTCCAGCTGGTTATCCCTATTTCTTTTTGCGAAATATCTTACATTGTAATTCTCAGTAAATGCTGCATATCTTTGTTAATCTAAGTAAGGGAAAATAGCAATATACCAGATCCACTGAGTAGAAATCACTTGATAAGTGTACCACTGATCTTACTCTTGTTGGGACAACGGTTTGATTTAGACTTGGTGGAAAATAATTAAGTCTGAAGATGTTTGTAAAAAACAAACAAGCAAGCAAGTCTGGTCCATTTTGAAATGCACACGGAGTACTGTTACTTTTTAAATAACTAAGCCACCTTGGATTTTTTTTTAATTAGTGGGAGGCTTACATTGTTTGGGTCCAACTTATCTTCGAGACTGCATCTCCCCCTATGAACCTGTGCGGGCTCTAAGATCTGCCAGGGAGGCCCTCCTCTCAGTTCCAACCGTCTCAAGCATGGTTGGTGGGGACGAGGGAGAGGGCCTTCTCGGTGGTGGCCCCTCGGCTTTGGAATACCCTCCCCAGTGCAATTAGGCTAGCCCCCACACTCCAGTGTTTTCAGATAAATTTAAAAACATGGCTCTTCAAGCAGGCCTTCGAACATGATTAAACATCAGTTAATACTGAGGACCAAGCGAATTGTTTGACTACTGCACTTTATGTGACTGACATTGATATGGCCATATTTTATATGCTAATTTGATATATATTTGTTTATGTAAATTTATATTGTTATATGTATTTTGCTGTACCTTGTGTATTCTGTTGCACTACTACGTACTTTTATAAACCACTCTGAGTCCCTTTAGGGAGATGGTGGTGGGATATAAATAAAGTTTATTATTATTATACAAATATTTAAAAATACTAAAACTAGAAGAAAGTTGGATATGCCCCTTTCTAAAAGAAGATGACTTCTGACCTCACAACCTCTGAGGATTCCTGCCATAGATGCAGGTGAAATGTCAGGAGAGAATGCTTCTAGAACATGGTCATGCAGCCCGAAAAATCGACAACAATCCTATGTTTATAATTTGTGAACAAAGGCATGTTTCTCTATAAGCTATAATTAATCTGTTTTCTTATTTAGTAATATTAAATAAGTGTTTCAAGTAACAGCACCATGTTTTTATGCCCAGGTTTACCTTAGTTTTCCAGGGAATTTCTCTGTTCTTTGCACCTACAGGTGATGTGACTGCTCAGGTATCTCTTCAGCCGGCTCTGAAGTTCAATGGCGGAGGTCATATTAATCACACTATCTTTTGGACAAACCTTTCTCCTAATGGTGGAGGAGAACCTACAGGTCTGTAATCAAAATGACTCAAGTATTATGGATTCTGCTAAGTCAAGCTTTTGTTCTGTTGCAGATACGTTTTTATTTTGTTTTCAAAAAAGAGAAAAAATACTCAAACAATTAAAAAGGGAAAAAAGAAGGGGAATTTCATAGGATATACTATGTAAGTTATGGAGTTAGTTTTTCTCACACAGGGAGACCTCTGCTGGCTTTAAAGGAAAAGGCATTTGTGGTACCAGTGGAAGCATTTTTCCCAATGGCTATTACTGATGCTGGGAGAAAGGCCCCTTCTTGTTGGGCTTATGACTGGGGGAAACGGATTAGTGCTTACCTATCTGTACCTATCTTGGGCAATGTTGGAAAGTTCCAGCTTCCTGGCCACTCTCCATCCTGGTCAAAGGTGGAGGCAAGGGCCTTGGAAAACAGGACAAAAAGGGTAAGTGCAGCATGAACTGGCCAGGCAACTGGAGCTTTCCAACATTCCCCAAGCATTTCAGTCCAAGCATTTTGGATAAAGAAGACTCAACCTGTGTCAGACATTATGAATGGAGGAAAGTTAGATTGAACTATGTGGCAAGTGACTGTTTACTGCAATGTAAACTGCAGTATACTAGACTGTTGTGCTCCAGATCCTTCGGACAATATCTTCCATTTTCTCTAGCCAGCATTAGCAGTGGTTATAAGAGCAGGCAAGATTACATATTCAGGATTAGTGCAGATGTGGTGCTGGGCACACACTTGGTTGTGATTAAGCCTGATAAGTAATGGACGAGATGAATTGTAGGGTGGAGCATAGTGGAAGTTGTTTAACCTTTGGAATGCTGGCTAACCCATTTGTATTATATGACAGCTATGATGCATCTTAAATGAAGCACCGGTGTCAGCCATTCTTAATGTAATGTTTCTTAAATTTTTCTTTTTATTGTAATGTTTACTCATGTTTTAGTTCTTTATGTCTTAGTGGATTGTTCCTGTTTCATTTTTATTTCAGTGCACAATTCCTTCGTTGTAAGTTTACTGTTGTTACTGTGCATTATCCTGTATTATTTAGATGTGTTTGTACCCATTTCGAGGCATTGAATATTGGCCTTTTTATGTGTAAAAAGGGAGAGAGGGTGTATTATTATTATTATTATTATTATTATTGCCTTCTCCCCTTTGTATAGAAGACAGTCAAGAGTTTTGTTATCTGTACCTAACCTGTTCAACCTCTTGAGGAAATAGCAGAGGAAAAACTAACTCTGTTCTGTACTTGTGTGATTTTTCTGTTTAAGGGGAGCTAATGGAAGCAATTAAACGTGATTTTGGCTCCTTTGCAAACTTCAAGGAGAAATTAACCACCGTCTCAGTTGGTGTCCAAGGATCGGGTTGGGGATGGCTTGGTTTTAACAAAGAACAAGGTAGACTGCAGGTTTCTGCTTGCTCCAATCAGGATCCTCTCCAAGGAACCACTGGTGAGTTTTTGAAACCTTGCCAAAATGGAAAGATACTGCTTGTCTTATGCAGTTGGAAATTACCAAGATGAAGTGCCCTTTTTGGCCCCAGCCATTAGCCATTAATTCATCTCTCTGGCTCCTGAGAACTCAGCAAACATTTCCCACAAACTTCTAAGCTCCAAAGGCTAGAATTCTTTGTTGTAATAAAAGTGAGAGTTTTCAGAGTTGGATTATGTATCTAGCATTTATTGAGCTTTACCTATCTATTGAGCACTTTTTTGCCCTGCGCTGTGATACTCCTCACTTCCCTAAATAATTGTAGAAGCACTTACACGTAAGCAAACACAGTATTGAGACTTAAAACCAGGAAGCTGTCTATTAGTAAAGGTAAAGGTTTCCCCTTGACATTAAGTCTAGTTGTGTCTGACTTTGGGGGTGGTGGTGCTCATCTCCATTTCTAAGCTGAAGAATCGGCATTGTCCGTAGATGCCTCCAAGGTCATGTGGCCGGCATGACTGTATGGAGCGCTATCGACTTCCTGCTGGAGCAGTACCTATTGATCTACTCACATTTGCATGTTTCCGAACTGCTGGATTGGTAGAAGCTGGGGCTAACAGTGGGGGCTCACCCCACTCCCTGGATTCGAACTGCCGACCTTTTGGTCAGCAAGTTCAGCAGCTCAGCGGTTTAACCTGCTGTGCCACCGGGGCCTCTGGGTCTAATACTTAAGTCTAGTACTTAATCCTGTTAAGAACTGATGGTCAGGAATTCATATTTTTAAAAGCTTGTGAACAAAATAGCACTCTTTGTTGGTGTCAAATGTCATGTAGTAATCATTTGAAGAAAATACTGTAATAACTTGTTTAATCCTCATTTTACGGTCGTCATATTTCTTCTTTCTTTCTAGGTCTTATTCCCTTGCTAGGAATTGATGTGTGGGAACATGCATATTATCTTCAGTATAAAAATGTTAGACCTGACTATCTCAAAGCTATTTGGAATGTGATCAACTGGGAAAACGTATCTTCAAGATATGCAGCTTGCAAAAAGTAGGGTAAAATTCTTATACAGACTCAAACAAGAACCTTCATGTTCCTTGGATCATTTTTGTACAACCTCTAACAGTTGACTTGGTAATTCCTCCACCACTGAAAATATAGCACCTCAAATAAAAGGGGTTTTTTGCCATTAAGTTAAACGTTTGTCTAATTTGGTGAAAGTTAATAAAGTGTAGGTCTTAAAAGTGCTAAGCTGCTCTCCAGAATGGTAATAATTTATTCGGTGCTATGAATGAACATGATTTTTGAAAACATCCGGATTACAGTTGAAAACTTTCTTGTAAGTTTGATTATTCCTTCAAACGTGTTTCTTGTGCTGCAAAGACCGAGCTAGGCATGCCAAATTTAAGAGCAGGATCTGAGACATATTAATAGCACTTCAAGAGCATTTTGTAACCTAAATTTCCTGAAAACTGCTGTATATCATTGTGGATATGCTGGGTGGGTAAAAGGCAGTATTAAAGACAGGAGTTTGTTTAAACACAACAGAAACATTTTGAACGTATCTCACAGCTGTTAAAGGCTGGCAAGTTAGCTTTCATGAAATCTGTTAAAATAGGGAAAGTCATGATCAGAGAAATTGCACCAAATGAAGAGATTATGTGATTTGTGCTTGGCTTATTCATTATTTGTGTAGTATCTATTTAGGGCTATTTTTGTAGTGTACTATTAATGGATGATAACCAGATTGTTTTCTGAGACTGGTCTGTAATGGCTTCCTTTTTTTGCACTACGATGTCTGATTTTTGTTCTCAAAATAAAATCTCAAATGGATTCAACCTCATTATTACCTATGGGTATGCTTTTAATTGTAACACTATTGTATTGAAAATACAATACCTTAAATGTTATAGTAGGAGTTGTCATCCTGCAATGATACCTTGTATTTTCAAAAAAAATTGATAGTTGATATGAGCTATCTGATTCTTACTGTACTTGATGAAAAACAGTTTTACATAACAGCAGTGAGCTTGCTGTGTTGGCGAAGGCTTTCATAGCTGGAATCACTAGGTTGCTGTGTGTTTTCCAGGCTTCATGGCCTTGTTCCAGAAGCACTCTCTCCTGACGTTTCACCCACATCTATGGCAGACATCCTCAGAGGTGGTGATGTCTGTTGGAAACTAGGCAATTGGACTTTTTACTACCAGTATTTAAAAACTCTAAAATCAGTAAATAAAGACAACACTCAAAAAACGGGAATTCCAGACAGGAAATAATCAGGGCCAGTTAACACCTCCCAAAAAATGATTCCCCCAGGCAGGAAGCAACTAGATGTTGAAGCTACAAGGCCATTCAATTCTAATCAAGGTGGCCAATTGCTACATTCACACTTGCCTCCAGAAGACAAGAGTTTTTTTCTCCCACCCTGGACATTCCACAGATATATAAATCCCACTTGCCTAGTTTTCAACACACCTCACAACCTCTGAGGATGCCTGCCATAGATGTGGGTGAAACATGAGGAGGGAATGCTTCTGGAACATGGCTATACAGCCCAGAAAGTGAGTTAGAAAATTCTTTGCAGTGCGAGTTCTCCACGTGTAAAACATGGACTTTTATTATATGTTAATACTAAGTCTCTTATTATACGGTCACAGATCAGAAGTTCAAAACATTAAAAGCAGAAAGTCCAGGATATGTAACCATCCTGGTTGACTTCATCTAACTCAGTCTGTTCGTTGTCCAGCAGATGGCGCTCCCATACCACAATCTGGCTTCTGCCGAAGTCTTGCGGCACCTTAAGAACACAATTGTTATGCTGGTTTTGCATGGTGATCAATTTGTTTTGGAGAGTATCTCTTCCAAAATGTTTTGGGCACAATTACCTTAACTTTATTTGGTTGCACCTTGGTGTTCCATGTTGGCTTTTGCAGTGCCTCCAAAACCAGGGGTGTATTCATACTACACAATTACAGTGCTTTCATACCACTTTAAGTTTCCTACTTCCTTATTGCAGAATGCTGGGATTGATCGTTTGGTGAGATACTTCACACTCTGCTAGTGAGTTGTAATGCTGAAATTCCAGAAAGGAGTGCAAGACTGGTGATTCTTAAGTTGTTTGTTTGGGGGTGGGGGTGGCACTTTTAATGTGCTGGGAGCTCATATATTTGTGCAAATTCTCTGCAATTGTTTCTTTTCTGGAAACTGGATCATAGACCATTATTTTGAGTACCTTGAAAGTACCTCCCATAATTGCAAATTCCAGGAAACCATAGGATTAAACCATTGTGATTACAGTACTATCAAAACACTGTAATTGTGCAGTGTGGATATACCTCGTAATGCTACTTCTGGTTTTATTCATTTGGGGGCATTTTTGGCAAGCCACAGAAGATCTCAAGAATATGATATTTTCCCCACTGTAGCTATCATCTCATACTCTAGGCTGTATGGTAAGGAGTAACTGAAATTGCATACTGTAGTTGTGTATTTTGAAGACAAGTACTCAAAATGAAGAAAACACATAAGCAGCAAATGCTTATTATCCTTGTGTAGATGCTACAACACTGGAAGTCTGTTCTGTAACAGGTGAGGGAGCATCCAGCCCTTAGCAAGCTGCACAGTGCCTTCAGATATACCTCTTACTTACTCACAAGGTTGTACTAGCCTTCCAAGAAGCAGGGATTCTTCAATTTTATGCAGTGATCTCAAGCATCCAATATCCTCAACTTGCTTATGTGAAGAAAGCCTTTGTATGGCTCAGACAGGCACCACAAGACCTGATGATACAGAGAATACTGGTGCAAAAGGATCCATTATCTCTAACAGAAGACTTTTCCTACTGCCTTCCACTGTAACAAGCATTATAGTCTTTTCCAAGGGGCCACATCCTCTTGTGTCTAAAGTAGACCAGTCATCTTGGTTTCTACTACTTAATTACACTAGAGAATGAATCCACTTTAAATCCAGTTTCTGCCTCCTGCAGAATTCTGGGGTTTGTAGTTTATTGAGGCTGTTAAAGCCACCTCCCTAAACTATGAACCCCAGAATTCTACAGGAAGCAGCAACTGGATTTAAAGTGGGTTGTTGTGTGTTTTCCGGGCTGTACGGCCATGTTCAAGAAGCATTATCTCCTAACATTTTGCCTGCCTCAACCTCTGAGGATGCCTGCCTTGGATGCAGGCAAAATGTCAGGAGAGAATGCTTCTGGAACATGTCCATATAGCCCGGAAAACGCACAACAACCCAGTGATCATGGCGATGAAAGTATTCGACAATACTTTCTATAGTGGGATGGGCCCTTTAGTGAGAGTTCATGCCTGATTTTCTTTAAAACCCATTCATTTTGTCTTGTTTTAGAAGGCTTTGTGGTCTGAAGGGCTCTCCCACATGACTTTGGTATTTAATGATAAATGCTTATACTTGGCCCTGAGGCTATAGAATGTTTTAAATACCTGCTTTGGCTGGTGAAAAGAGGCCAGACCTCAGAGAGTAAGATACAACCTCCCACTTTCCAGATTTTGTGATATCAGAGCTCGATTGTCAATAGAGACAACAGCTCTGCATATGTGGGGAAGACACTGGGGTTTGTGTTGTTGCAGTTGTTTTTGCATTCAAGTCATAGCCAATTTATGGCAATCCTAAGGCGGTTTTCTTGGCAAGGGAGCTTGTCTTTGCCTTCCTCTGACTGTAACTTCTCCAAGTTCACCCATCTCCAGTGTTGTCATCTGGCACTCAAACTACAGGACCATGCTGCTTCTCTTTTGGGGATCCACAACTTTCCTGTTTTCCCGAGGTAGTTTTGTAACTGCTAATGTGGAGGGCTGCTGAGATCTTATTTCTTCGTCTTCATTGTCATCTTTTGAGCTGTCATAGAGATTTTTCTTCCCATGGAAAGGAGATAATAAGTGGCTTCAAGAAAGGAGATGAAACAAAGAAAAGCAGGACAGTTCCATCTCTTCTTAATCTGTAGCAGTTCCCAACTCCGATCTCTCAAAAGCAAGGATTGCTCTGACCACCAAGTTTTACACTGAGTTTACATGTGTGTATTGGCTTGTGCATAGCAACTTAATAATATTCACATTGTCTCAGATGTTATCCTGGGAGTCATAGATGCCGATAAAAATGTGTTGCTTCAGGAAATAATGCTCCTAGCCAAAAAAAACAAAACAAAAACAAAACCACAAAGTATGGGGAGGAGAAAGGTACATTATATTACCAAATATGTGGAATGGTACCAGTAGAGGGAGATCTTTCTCTATATTATCTTCTATTCAGGTATCTAAGAATATTTTCACATTGCAAGACCAGAAGAAACTTGGGTTATTCAAGAAAGATAATTTCTCAGCTTTTAAAAATGCTAACCCTCATCTGGATGTTGTCATGAACATCAAGGTAGGCACTGCCTAGAAGTCTTGCTGTCTTAGATTGGACAATTTCGTAGATGTTAGGGGCAACAATGCTGACGTCCAACCAGTCTCAGAGTATCTGTAGGGTTGTCTACATAAACTAAGAAAGTAATACCTTGTAGACACACTGATCTTGACACACAGCATACTTGACGATTCATTTGCAAGGTATTCCTTTGGGATTTAAATTGTTCCAAAAACTGGCCTTTTATTTCAGTAGTGTAATATGCTGACACTCACATGTTTCTGTTAAGCATTTGTGCAGTAATTATACTGATACTTACATAACATATTATTTCACAAATGCTTCAGAAAATATATTTATTTGTATATATGATGAAAAAAATAAGTGGAGTTTCCATAGTGCAACACTTATACTGATACATAACTATAAACATCTCATTGCACAACTGCTTTACAGAAAATACATTTGTATATATGATGAAAAAAACAAAAAGAGAAGTTGAGTGTCCATGGTGGTTTAAATGAAAATAATGTGAAGGATTGGAAATATGGACCACCTTCTAACAGACAAATGAGTTGGCTAGGGAGAAAATGTATGGTCACTACAGGGCCAAGTTAGATTGGCAAAGTGCATGCCAAACAGATTGTTTTGATCAGTGTGGCCAAACCCTACCTGTCTATAAATGAGTTTCCAGGAAGGGCGAGAAAGGATTTAGTTGCATTTACAGCTTTTTGTTAGGCTTTCCATAAGCAAATGATTGATCCCAGTGTGAGCAGAATGTTGAGTTGGACAGGATTTTGACCTTGTCCACGATGGCTTTTTGTATGTTCTTCATCAGTATTAGATGAGACAAGATAAATGGAATAAGACAGTATGCACTTACTAAAAACTTTTTACTTAGATAAAACAAGTATTGTTTCAATAGAACAGTGCAGGACTTGCTCTGTAACTCGATATTTATGCTAACCCTCAGGCACTTTTAACACTACACCATTATAGCATAAGGACTGTGGATACAGTTTAGGAAATCCTGGGAAATGTAGTATATAGGGAGGGGACCTGGCTGAGAGCACTAATGTTTCACCAATATACAAACCTAAGGATTCTTTGAGATGTTTCCATGGATGCATCACAGTGTTGTGTAGACTTATGTGAAAGGGCTCAAGGTGCTATCCTTAGCATAATAACTCACTGTTCAAGAGCTGCATCCAGGTGTATGTAGTCTATGTGTACTATGTTATGGACAGGCAGTATTGTATGTGTTGCTTTTAAAATGAAAATGGATGAACCAAACATATCCCATCTCAGCAAATCAGTATATGTGGCCTTAAAAAAGTAAATCAGGGAATCCTCTCTTACACTGCCATATTCCATCAATTCTAGGAAGCCATCAGTTCTAATGTATAATGTGTTTTAATTGCCGATGATACTGTTGTGATAACCTTTATTATGTAAACCGCTTTGAGTCGC